GGGGGGGGGGGGGGGGTAAAGGATTCATGACTTGATTCAGTAGTTTTTAAATGATGGGTCTGCAGGAGGTGGTGGGAGTGAAGACGGAGAAAATGTATATATTTAATAAAATTAATTTATGAAGAAATATGGAATTAGATATTATTGCGAAGCAAGTAATAATGAATAATATGTACCTAGGTTTTATTTTTCCTGATACTCTAGTTGGAAATTCAAGAATGACTCCCAGCTTCTTTTCTTGGAAATATGATGGTAAACATATTTAAAATAGTATACAGGCACACAGGAGGGAAGGAGGAGAAAGTTTAGAAGGAGAGGATGCAGATGGAAAATTAAGAAAAATGGGGATAATGAATGAGAATAAGAAGAATGAGGAAGGATAATGAACAGAAAGAGAAGAAGGTTAATATGGAAAATAATTAAAGTAAAAAGAGGCAAGCTTACAAGAAGGGAAATAAGAAGAATGAGGAAGGATAATAAGGAGAATGAGGATGGCTAATAAGTAGAATGAGGAAGGATAATAAGGAGAATGAGGAAGGATAATGAGAAAAAAGAAGAAGGATAATAGGGAAATTTAAAAGGAGAAAGAATACGAATAAGCTAAGGAGAACAATGAAAGGATCAAAGGAAAAAGAAAAGTATGACGATAATGAGAATGATGAGAAGAACTACTTGGAAAAAGATATAAAGGATAGTAAGGAGAATGAGGAAAGGTTCAGGAAGAAAAAAAAAGAAAAATGAGAATTAAGAAGAAGAATAAGTAGAAAGAGAAGAAGGAAAATACGAAAAAGGAGGAAAGGATAATGAGGAGAATAGTTTAAGAATAATGAATGGATAATGAGGAAAAAGAATGAGAATTGGAAAAATATAATGAGGAAAGAAAAAAAAGGATAATAGGAGAATGAGGAAAGAATAATGTGGAGGGTTAAAGGATAATAGGGAGAATAAGAAAAGGATAATGAGAAGAAAGGGAAGAAGGAGGATAATGAGCGACAAGAGGAGTAAGAAATGTTGACAGGAAAAGTATGTTTTGTGTTTATGTGACTAAGAATATCTGGCTCAAATCCTAGATAAACACTGACATTTAAAAGATTAAAAAAGGAAACATTGTATTCTCCTACCCCCCCCCCCTCCTGGGGGTCCCAGCATACTAGGGATACAAGGATACTGTCACAATCATTCTCTCCTCCGGAATTTTCAGATTTATATCAATAGTTCTCAAGGTGTAGTAGGGATTAAAGAAAATGGCGATATCTTCAAGAACCCAAATGTCTCAATTTTTAAATAAAATATCTAACTTGATTTTACTATGAATCCAATTCTAAGAAATACAGGATAGTTTTAGATTGAGTCATCTTGGGCCAAGTTTTTAAATTCCCAGAGCTCATATGAGTCACTTAGAATAATAATATATATTATCCCAGTGGTATACCTCTATGTATCCTATTGGTATACCTCTTTGTATCCTAGTGGTATATCTCTATGTATCCTAGTGGTATATCTCTATGTATCCTAGTGGTATACCTGTATGCATCCTAGTGGAATACCTCTATGTATCCTAGTGGTATACCTCTCTGTATCCTAGTGGTATACCTCAATGTATCCTAGTGGTATATCTCTATGTATCTCTATGTATCCGACTATGAATGGTCCAAAGCACAATGGCGTGGTTCAAGTATTTGTATGAATCCTTGAACCAGCAAACTAGGGTTCAACCTGCTAATTGTCCACCCAACCCTTCTCCGTACTAGAAACTAGTCAGAGCTTTAGTTTAATATTCAAATAAGTACAAGAATCTTTTCAAATACATTTAAAAACTTTTCAGATAATCCTCCATCGCTTCTCCTGTAGTTCATTGTCTTTACTAGAACGATATTATTTATCTATTTACATAGTTAACATTACCTCTATGTCCTAAACATCTTTCCTGTTTATTTTCAGTCTCTTTATACACATCTTTAATTATTCATAGTTGACAATGGGAAACTGGTTTTTTTGTCGCTTACTAAAATCAAGTTAGTTTAAATATTACTCTTCCATTACAAGATCAATTTATCTTTAATTCTAAAATACATATCTTTAATGCCAAGATATCTAACTTTAATTTCAATATATCTATCTTTAATTTCAAGATATCTATCTTTAATTTCAAGATATCTATTTTTAATTCCAAGATATCTATCTTTAATTCCAAGATATATATCTTTGATTCCAAAATATCTATCTTTATTTACAAGATATCTATCTTTAATTCCAAGAAATCTATCTTTAATACCATAATATCTATCTTTAATTTCAAGATATCTATCTTTAATACCAAAATAACTATCTTTGATTTCAAGATATCTATCTTTAATTCCAAGATATCTTTCTTTAATTCCAAGCTCTCTAGCTTTAATTTTGAGTTTATTTGATCATTAGAACTTCAAAGTGGTTAAATTTAATTCTAAAGTTGGAAAAGAACTTATCTTTTATTTTGTTTTGAAGTGTTATTTGTGAATGCATAGATAAATAGATAAAGTTTAAGAATTGTTTAATTTGTTAAATGTACTCAATGCAGTAAAAGTATAATTGTGCAGTTACTACAATGGTAAAGATTAACCCTATAGGTTTAATGATCAGTATATAGTCTTGTATCTGTCATTGTCCTATCTATACTACTGAATAACTGTCCGGTCTAATCTATCCAAGATATACGAGATGTTTGTTTGTTTAACTCTGCTAAAGAAAACACATCAAAACTTTGAAAAAGAATTAGTTGGAGAAAGAAAACAAACTTTTTGCTCGACCTCTCTTTTCATGACATAAATATGACGGGGGGAGCAAATAGGCTTCTTCATGTAAAAACAATTATTCAAGAAAAGAATATAAAAATCTCAAGGTTCGGGTTCGGTTAGAATATCCGGGTATGGGTGTCTTATGGTTAAATGCATGACAGGTTTAATGAGTGTTCTCTCCAAGGATTACAAGTCACTAATTTTATGTCTTCTTGTAGCTTCGTATTCTTAGTATTTTTATTTACATGTACACGAACTCTCTATCTAACTATGTACAATGTACATGTACACAAACTCTCTATCTAACTATGTACATTACACAAACTCTCTATCTAACTATGTACATGTACACAAACTCTCTATCTAACTATGTACTTGTACACAAGCTCTCTATCTAACTATGTACAATACACAAACTCTCTATCTAACTATGTACATTACACAAGCTATTTGTCGAACAATGTACAATGTACAATGTACATGCAGACACTCTCTTTATCTAACTATGTATACATGTACATACAAATATATGTACATGATTTAACTAGAAATACTGTCTACAAAAATTGAACGGATAATTGAAAGGAATTAAATCTTTGTCAAAAACTCTTATTTTCTAATATCTACATCTTTGCAATGCAATGTCGTAGTCCTTTGATATTTCAAACTATGAATACTGGTAGATCATGGGATCTCAAAGGTGTCCACCTAGAAGTAGTTGAACCGCATAGATTAAGTCAAACCACTTAATTGTGCGCCAATTTAAGGTCAAAAGAAGTGACTTAGTTTACGCGGTTAAATTTTTTTTGCATAATTCACTAAATCTGGCCTAAAAATCAATCTGGCGCCTTAAAACTGAAAAAAGAGAAAACTAGATTTAAGGAATTTTATGTATTTTTGTTGTTGCGAAAAAAGCAAATAGTTTTACCGATAGCTTGAAAATTACCTTATTAATTATGTAAATTGGGTCTGATTACACTGGTCAATTTGTTTGTTTCATGCTTATTGGATTAAGACAAAATTACAACTTGAGTGAGTCGTCGTCCTATTCCACTATTTTATGGGTCTCACCGTCCTAAGTACATATTTGCCCTTGAAACTGGTTTGTTTCCTCCCGAAAAATACATCATGTGACACGGTTTAAACCGAACGGGTCAACGTTTTGTGTGGGACCTGCTGTGGGGGTCAATGTGATAAAAAGTCGAGATAAACAGGATGCGTAAAAAAAACGGGATTTATAAAAATAATCTAATGTCATGTTTATCAATAGAAAGGGGTTCTTGTTAAGTCAATTTCTTGAGTTCAGTTATAGATGCACACTAAATTAACGGTTTGGACCTTTTCCCAGCTGGATGTCAATTTAGATCACAATTTGACCAATTTAACATAAACTGTTTTGTCACCAGATACATTATAGATAAAAAGGTAAGAGAAGCGTAAGTTTAAAGATTGCTGGAGTACAGCTAGTCTGTGAGTTTATCCGAACAGAGGTAAACCTGGTTAGTCCAGGATGAAATGCTAATCCACAGAAATAAATTTTTAAAAATCGAGAATGGAAAACATTTATTTTTTATTAACGTTTTAAGAATATCAATATCACAGCCAAGACATCACAGTGTAGAAACTAGAGGTTACATACAACCTTCAGTATCAGAGGAGAAAAATTCGATTCTTCAGGAAACATCAAAAATTATGATTTTTGATGATTATAACCACTTTAACCGTTTAAACATTTTAATTACAACATAATATTTGGAACTTTTTGAGAGCTTGATAAATTGCAGAATCTTGTTTTTTTTTGTGTAAAATTGTTTCGATAAGAAAATGTTAATATCAATTTACTCTATTTTATATCCAACTCGAAGACCCGGTTTTTGAGAAAGGTTAAATATTTTTTTACACGGATTTTAACGATTTTAAGAGAGTCTACTTTTCATTTAGAGTTTAGGCTAGAAAAAAATTGCAACTCTAATTAAATCTGAAATTTTTTAAAAATCTTGGAACAGTTCCAAATTATCGAACTTTTCTCCCCTGAATTTTCTACATCTAATTAAAATTTTACAACAACTGGGTATTCAGAACAATCAAGAATTGACAGAATTCCGATCGCTTTAATAGGACAAAACTTGGGAAATTTTTATAAAAAAGTCATTATTTAAAAATTAATTAAAAATGTTTACGCACAATGCTAAACATTTTTTTAAAAACATATAAAAAAGAATTTTCTATCTTACTGATTTAAAATCCTTGGTTAACAATAATTATTCTAAATTTACGATTCACTGGCACATTGTCAAGCTCTTGTTAGACTTGGAGAAGTGTACAATTTACATATTACATTTCTGTACACTTTACATTGTACAGAACAATACAATGCAGAACACACAATTGTATTGTTTTCTTGTCTATACTTCAAATGTAAAGCTAGTGTACTGCAACAGCTGAAAATGCACGTATTTGTACATTGTACACTGTACATAAACAGTACAGGGGATCAGATAACTGCATGATAAATTGTGATGGTTGAGAACTGGTTCTAAGAATGGCACACTGAGATTTGAGACAGGTTCACTAGGCTGGATTCCTTGCAGCCATACTTTAAACCAAAAAAGATAATTTTTCTAAATAAATAATAATAAGTTATTATAACGCTTCATCTCCAGGTTGCATATCAGGATGTCTCTGTCCTGGATAGTAAATAGTTGAACTATTCGTACTGTTCCTGACACTAGTGTTACTAAACCTCTGAGAAGAACTTCTGGAACGGTCCCAGGCGGATCCATTGGACGTGTTGGAACGGTCCCAGGCCGATCCGTTGGAGCCGTTAGAACCATTGGGTGTACTTGCTAGAAGATGGTATTGAGAGTTCTGTCCAACAAGTTGGTTTTTACTCTCCTTACCAAGGTTCGGTTTCTCCTGAAATAAAATGTGTAGAATAGAGAAATATAATCTAATTACTCCGTGCTATAAACACTACCTTCAGACTCTAAGCACAGTATTAACCCAACCTCAAAGTTCAAGATTTATTGTGCAATGGGGGGGGGGCTTAGTTATTTAGATTACTTTTTAACAGTCTTTACTTCAGAGGGTTTAAATGTTTATCTAACTCATGATGCATCTTAAAAATTACAAGAATCTAGGGAATGTGTTTAGCGCAATAATTGTCGAGTTGCATAATATTAGAAGTGACATCTGCCATCCTAATGGCGCTAAGTCTATATATGAACCTTATCTTTCTCATGGTTCTATGTTGGATAGGAAGCAAGAATACTCTATCTCAGTGTGTTAGATCCAGATTTTTAGAAACCAAAACGCATCCGTCCTATCTTATGTCACCAGTAATAACTTATACCTGGAGAGTAGCTTGATAATCATACTCGTCCGGTCTTTGTCGGTGGAAAAATCCGAGTCTGTGCAGGATATAGGTTAGGAGGGAGAGGAAGAGTAAACCGGCCAGAACTGCAAGAATCAGGATCCAGAGAGGAATACTTCCTCCTTCTCCCATCTCCAGGGATAGTACCTAGGTAGAGAAGAAACCTTGTTTACAAATTCAGCCTAGCAGATCAAAATTAAAGATTGTTAACTCAAGGTCTGATGAAATACAAGAAATTTTCAATTAGAAATATTTAAAGTCTGATATGAAGTAACTTTGGGGTAAGACTTTTCAACGGGTTTAATTTCTTCTTCATAAAAACCTGCAGTTCTTTCATATGCACAAGTCATACAAATAACTGATAAGCGATCTTAGGAAAACATTGATATTCAAAATATTGAAATATGAATATTGAATAACTTGAGGTAGAAGTATTTAGTAAAATCTAAATGGATTCGTCAGAAATAATGAAAGATTTATACCTGAGTTGTCACGTGATGAGTTTTAAACCCGAGGTATTCAGGATTTACTCCGTATGGGAGCTTTGTCACTTTAGTAACAAGTTTAGATGAAATCTCGACATCGTTCCTCTTGATTTTATCAAGGGTTCGAACCCAGAGCCGAGATCGGATCTTTATCAAGGTGAATCCTTTCTTCTCCAGGGGCCCGATAACACAGGAGATGAAGGTGCACTTGGTCTGGCCGCAGTTCAGCTCGGAGAGAAATTCCGTATCAACGTCTCTCTTTCTTCTGGAGTATCCGAACCCAGATTTCTCGTTTAGGACGGGTTCAAGCTCCAGTATATCCTCCTCCGTGTAGTTAACCTGGTGCCTGTACTTCTCCTCCAGCTCCTTCACATGGGAGTAGGTGTGCCGGTAGCGATCAACCTTAAGATAAATTGTATTTGATATTTAAAACTAAACCTTCAATTCCTTCTATAGATTTAACCTTACTCCATACCCCCTCCCCCATCCCCTTCATCGATAAAAATTCAGTAAATTGGAATACAGCGAGCAAGTTATTTAACTTAATACACTTGCCTCAGTCACGTAGTAAAAACAATACAAGAATTACAGACTAGGGATTTGTATGAGTAAAAAGTTGTTCGTTCTTGAAGAGGGGGGGGGGCGTCGCGTTGCAATAATTCGAAAACCTTTTCCAAGTATAGATTTAATGTCTGTATACTTCTTTTCTGTCCTGTACTTTTTCTACGTTGATTACAGAATGTATTGCAGTGTGTATATTGTGCACCTAATTTTATAGGATGTATGGATGTATCTGTCCGTAGTTTTCTTTTAGATTCAGTTGGTTAAAAAATTTGAAATACTACATATATATATATATATATATATATAATTGTATAATGTGTATATTATAACAGTGGTTGAAATTTCACTTTTGCCAAAATGAACTCATCATGAAGTTGGAATTGTCTAAATTGTATGTCTCTGTAAAAATGCGTCTATGTACTTTGGGCGTATGCATATTTAAATGCGTAGGCACAGATGGGTTTAACCCCCTGACGCCAAAATGCCAATGTATCCTTGAAATGCGTATACTAGAGTTTTATTTCACCCTTTGGCAGTAGATGCGAACTTTATAGGATGATATTAGACCAAAATATTCGGAGTGGAGTATATATATTATATATACCGTGAAATAGGTTTCAAATTCTAGATCAGTTCTGTGTATCTGTATATATTAGACATCTTCCAGGGACTTGGAGTAATTGTAATTAATAATGAATATGCAGGTTTCAGAGATAGGTTGTTATAAATGATACACAAACATTAAACCAGGGTTTAATCTAAATATTTTTATTTACACAAAGTGTCTCAAAAATATACGATTTCTCAAAAGGAAATGGAGTCTTTGCCCCAACCCCTGATTTTCTAATCCGTATATCTTTTCAACCCAATGCCATAGGTCTTAGATATTTGAAGCTATGCATTCTGTTAGATTAAATAATCTGAGTTCGAAATATTAAAAGTTTACACCATCAGGTTGCAAAGATATGGGTATTAGACAATTTCAGGGCAAAGGCTCAATTACTTTATAGGAAATGACTCGTCACAAACTCCAAATTCTTAACCCTTTTATCTTCACCACCTGATATAGAAGTCCTTATAGTTATTTCTAACTACGAATTCTACAATATCAAAAAGTTAAAGTTACAAAGATATGTTCATAAGAGAAAATTAGGGTTTGCGTCAAGTGATCAATTTCTTTCCCTTAAAGAGTGATGTTGTTAACAAATCAAAATTGAACCTTTAAACCTACAAAATAAGACGATAATAGATAAAGATAATAGATAATAGATAAAAACGAAGAAGAAACCTTTAGTAATCAAATGTAAAACTAGGAAAACAAATAAACACTTTTTCAACACTTTTTTTAATATATTTTTTGAAAAATTATGAAAGTTTCGTTTATGTAAAATATTTTCTTCTTAGTTTTATATGAATGATGAGAATGAGGGTTATATTTTACACCCTTTAGACAACTATTAATAGATTTCTACAGCACAGACGAGCAACAATATGGTAAACTCCCTTTTCTGAATATAAAGATAAACAGTTCTGTTGAGTAGAAGCTAGTACCTTGATATTAAGAGAGTTTACATCTGTAACAAACTGACAAGCTCCAGGTCCTTCAACCCATGGTTGAGAGGTCAGGTAGAGGAGAGGATCCTCAGTCTCACGGAGAGAAGGCCAGAGGATATAAACCTCAGCTGCCTCAATACCACTCGGACCCTGGTTCTCAATCTAGAAAAAGACATTTTCAAAACATCTTTTTCAAAATAACAAAAATAAAATGTTTGTGGATTAAATAAAGTAAGCTATTATATTTCCCGGCGTTGCCCGTGAAATGTCAGTCAATTTGGTCCAACGGTTTGGCCAGCTATAGCTAACATATAAATATATATACAAATATATATACAGGGTGTCCCACATAATATTAGATCTTTTTCAGCTCTAAATTGCGATTTTAGGTTCTAATAAGATAATTATAAAAATTCTTGATCAAAATTTGCTTGCAGAAAAAAATAGGTTTTTCGAGTATTATGATCGTATTTTGGCGTTAAAGCTGGGAGATAATCCAATATGATATGGAACGCTCTGTACATGAGAGAAGAGCTGTATTACATAGATTACAGGGTTACCCACAAAGTTTGAGACTTTAGAGACGACTGTACGGAATTTGTTTATTCCCTTTTCTCAAATTTAGGGTCAAAACTAGCTTATTTCTGTGCTTAATTATTTTGTAAACCATTAAAAAAATAAGGCAGACACTCAAAATTAATCTTCCAATTGTCATATTTTCAGAGTTTTAGGTTGTCATTAAAGTTTCATTCTTTGTGGGTATCCCTGTATCTAATTCTTAAACTTAATCCAAGAATATTTCAAAACTAATATTTTGAACAATAGAAAATATTCTGTTAATTTTTCTATAGAAGAAGTTATTAGATATTTACTTTTTTAGAAGTGTGTTTTCATTATTTAACATCTAACAACAAACATGATTTATTAATTTTTCTTTGAAACTTCCTACCAAGATGAAGGACAGAAAATCCTTGATATTTTGACAATGTTGCATGCTTCGTGATATTATTTACTGAAATAGTCTAGAAAAATATCTCTTTAAAAGGTCCAAGTTTGGATGAAACACATGATGCACTGGATGAGTTGGGAAAAGTTGACTTACACTTCATCTTGCTGCAGGGTTAAGCATCCTATTTCGTTTTTTTTACATTCAAGGTTTTTTTTGATCTATTCAAATCTGAGAAATTTTGCGAATCTTAAAATAAATGCTCCAAAAGTTTGTTTTCATTAAACTCTTTAAAAACTGTTATTTAACAAACAATTATTTTGCTTTGTCCAGGGGCCGAATTTTATGAATTGGAGAAGTCGTTGAACTACCCACCAGTTCAAATCCTGAATCACTGATTCAAATCCTCATGAATCTTTAACTTTGAAACGGTGATTCAATATCTGAATCGGTTGTATGTAGTTCAGCTACCTAGCTCAAATTCATTTAATTCGGTCCCATGGGCTCATACATATATTCTGTAAGAGGCAATATTTTGCATGATATATAATAAAAACAAACAAGCAAAAAATATAAGTTTAAAATATGTTAAACTTTGCAGATTTTTGTCAATCCTCTTAAGGTTTAATTGTTAAAAAAACACATATCCGATAGGATGCAATTGCACAACACTACAGGTCTTACATCATCAAACTCATATGGAGGTCTACCCTACTACTATTAATCAATGTTTAGTTTACCAACCTATAATAACTATATTATAGGTTGGTAAAACAATAACAAAGAACAACGCTTATCTTTTAAAAATCACCCCTATTCTGTTATATTTATCCACCCTGGTGGTTCAACATAAAGGTTTAATATTTGGTAAAAAGTAGGATTATAGATTGAAAACCGCCCTGTTATTCAGTTCCTAACTATATACAACAGGGGGAAAGAAGGGGGAGGTGAATGGGAGTATAAAACCTGACGAATCATTATACAGGGGTACCAACAAACGATGAGACTTCAGAGATGACTGTAAGGAATTAACACTGTTTATTTTTTATATATTTGGGATTTCCAGCAAATGTAAATTAATTTGTTTCTATGCCCAATAATTACAATCGTCATTACAGTCTCATGGGTCGTGGGTAACCCTGTACTAGTAGAGGGAAAGTATGTGGGTATTGTGGGTAACCCTGTACTAGTAGAGGGAAAGTATGTGGGTATTGTGGGTAACCCTGTACTAGTAGAGGGAAAGTATGTGGGTATTGTGGGTAACCCTGTACTAGTAGAGGGAAAGTATGTGGGTATTGTGGGTAACCCTGTACTAGTAGAGGGAAAGTATGTGGGTATTGTGGGTAACCCTGTACTAGTAGAGGGAAAGTATGTGGGTATTGTGGGTAACCCTGTACTAGTAGAGGGAAAGTATGTGGGTATTGTGGGTAACCCTGTACTAGTAGAGGGAAAGTATGTNATAGGTAGTGGGTGCAGTTGTCCTAATATATATAGGTAGTGGGTGCAGTTGTCCTAATACATATAGGTAGGGGGTGCAGTAGTCCTAATATATATAAGGAGAAAAAAAGAGAATATTTTCATAAATAAAAACATATTTTGTATTCGGTTCTGGTAATGTTCTACACACATAATTTCAGTTAACAAGATGTACCCAACCCAGAGCTAGATAAAGCCTGAGTTTAAATGCATAATTGCTTTAAATGAGACTAAATTTTAGGCAGTAAATAAAGCCTACGAATCTAAGCAAGTCATTATAGAGTAATTAAGTGCATAATTATATAATGAATTATATCCAATGTGAAACTAAAAGGGAATATAAGTAGACTACAAAACAACCTGTTTATCTCAATATTTCAACTCGTCAAATATGTACTTTCTTCATGTTAAATCTTCAATTCTCGCCATAAATTAAAACTATTTTTTAATTTTTAAAAGGATCCTTCACGTTATCTTTAGTGACTCTTCAATTAGAAAGTAAAATTAACACTTTATTAAAGTATCTAACCTATAAAAAACCTTATGAAGAATAAATGATTGTGGAGATATCTTCGCATTTCTTTTCAAAAATGATAAAATGTGTTCGTGGCCTATACTCTTTGATTTCTACAACTAAAACGAGTCAGAAAGAAGTTACGGCTTGCACCTTTCCACATAAAAACAAGCAAAATTTACACCATCGTTATTCAGATAACAAGTAAATTTACTATGTTCAAATTAAAAAAGAACTTTAAAAATCGTTTAAAATTCCTTTAAAGAAATTGAGCCTTTGCCGCAAACTCTCATTTTCTGATCCCTAAATCTGAGCAACCCAATGTCGTAGACCTCAGATATTTCAAAATATTAATTCTGTTAAATCAAATTATCTAAGTTTAAAATATCAAAGGTTTACAACATCATACTGCAAAGATATAGAGATTTAAAATTTGAGTTTGTGGCAAAGACTCAATTCCTTTAAAGCTGATTTCGATTCCCAAGTTTGCACCTGTGTTACCGACTGTCCGGCAAAATATTTAAAATAAACTCACTTTTGAATTGTTTTGGAAACTTTTAACTTAGTGAATGGAGTTGAAAAACTAAATTTAGTGAATGACAAAAATGTTTTAAATTCTCTAAGTGTCCGTGGAGAATGGAAACTTTGTAGATTTTGAAATTTACATTCAGGGTTTAAAAAATGTTTCTAAAAAAGAATTTATAACTAGAAAATATGCGTTTTCCGCTTTTTTTTCAATGATTAGCCAAAAAAATGTGTGAAAAATGTGAGGTAGATCTGTGTGGATAAAGTAAGTATTTAAGAAATATATTTGAAATGTGTGCTCTGACATATTCCCCCAATACACTAGAAATGGAGCAGACACAAACAGAACCCGGGGTTTACAATGGATGGGGGAAATGTCGAAACTTAAATAAAGAAAATATCTTTAAACGAAGCAATCTCCAGGATTAAAGCAAAAACCTAAAGTTTCAACATTAGAACTTGTTGTTCTTCATAACATTCAATTCAACATGTTATTAGGATAACAGATAACTTTAAAGGGAATATAGAATAGCTTTAAAGAAAAGTGTATAAGCTAAAGTAGATAAGTTTCCAGCGATAGTGCGATAGTACGATAGTGCGATAGTGCGGTAGTGCGATAGCCTGTAAGCCTGTAAGCCTGACGGCAAGCATCGCAGGTCAGATACATGGACTGACACTGAGTTCTTGCCACAAACTCTGATTTTGTAATCCATAAATTTTTTCAACCCGATGTCGTAGACCTTTGATATTTCTAACTATGAGTCTATAGTCTAAATTTAAAATATAAAACATTTCCAACATCTGGTTATAAAGATATAGGGATATGCAAAATAAGACCAAACAACCCTGGAAATTTTAATTTATCTTTGAAAATACAACCTCCCTCGATCCTTTGACCCTCCCCTCTTTATTAACTCCTACAAGAAGTAGTTCAATTTAGTCTACATGGTTCAACTACTTCTAACTGTTCATTAAATTTTGTCCCAGGAATCATAATGAATTAAAAAGTATGAACCAGGGATGACGAACATGTTTTACTCCATATACCTGATATATGTGCATAATCTCAGGACCAACTTGAACCTCTTCATCTATCCCAACATCGTCTTTGTACTCGCTACGGTTGAACCGAATAACCTCAGGAACGGAAAGTCTAGAATAGAATATCAAAGTAAACAGAAGAAAACAAAGAAGAAAAAATAATAAACGAAAAATGTGAAATATGTATCAAGAAGTTATATATATATATATATATATATATGTATCTTT